CAACATTCTTAGTCGTTTACCTTCATATTTTACAAAGGCTGATCATCTTGTTGCTTTCAGGATGAGTCTGTTTTAATATGGATCTCGGGGAAAGAGGAGAAACACCTTAAACTGAGCCATGTCTCTAGAATTATATCTGGGCAACGCACTGTAAGTATCTTGCTTGGGAGATAAGATCATTTATATGTATGCTTTTATTATCTTTACATTGTTTATTGTTGGCTAATGTGTGGTCTAGAACACATGATTGGCGTTGTTTGCTTTCTTTTGCTGTTTGATTTTTCCTGTGGCTCTGGGAAAAAAAATTATACCCTGGCATTTATATTAACTTTTAGTTAGTTGAAGCGGTTGCAGCACATATTAGTTATCATTCAGAGTCTTTAGACCCTCAAAACTACGGCAAAAATCGCTATTATTGTCATATGGATGATATGATTCAAGTTTTTCATTATATACAATATTTTTTAACGCCTCAGCTGGACTCTTTCATTTCTATGCTTTTGCTATTTTTCATTTAAAGTTCGTGGAAACTATTGATTAGGAAGGCAAATTTTTATGGTGGAATTCCTGTCCATACTATGCTCTGTGCTACTTTTGGAATTTTCCCTAATTGTCTTTGGCACGTTCTGTAACTAGATTATTAAATGGGTCATGTTTGGGAACAGTTTCACTCTGGAATGATGCTATTCATTACGGTTACTTATTTTTGTTGTGTTCGTATATTACTATCATCGGGTTTGTTCGAGTGTTATAACTTATGCTGTCACAATTCCATGTCTACCCTTATGTGTGATAACTTCACATTGATTCAGAAAACTCTGTTATGTGCATAATGTACTAATTAAATTTAAATGTATATTTTCCAGCCAATATTTCAAAGGTATCCACGGCCAGAGAAGGAGTATCAATCATTCTCTCTGATCTATAATGATAGATCACTTGACTTGGTAAGAATTGCTTTGGTGCCTTTTGTTTTTTGTCGTCCTATATTTCTCTCATCAGGTTATATTTAGTTGATTTTAGGTTTTCACCTTAGCGTTTACTGTATTTTTTCACTACCATCCCTCTTCCAGATTTGCAAAGATAAAGATGAAGCTGAGGTATGGTTTAGTGGTCTAAAAGCCTTGATATCCCGCAGTCACCATAGGAAATGGAGAACAGAGTCAAGGAGTGATGGAATCCCATCCGAGGCAAATAGTCCTCGAACATGCACAAGGAGGAGTTCTCCGTTGCATTCTCCGTTTGGTAGTAATGATAGCTTACAGAAGGTGTGAACTATTTTCCCCTTATTTTCTAACTTTGATCTGCTTGAGTTTCTTCAAATCCAGCTTCTATGGGGTCTTCGCTTGGCTGTGTTTATTTTGAGCCTTTAATGCAATATCTTTTAGCCTAAAGAAAAAAAAAAA